AAGGTGGATAAGTTAAAGATAATAACAGAGGAGGGAATTTTGAAGCATGTTCCTCCAGATGGCAGTAAATGGGTTTCCTCTATTGTAGTTTTGCGAAAATCAGATGGAGACTTTCGAATATGTGGTGATTTCAAAATAGGCAAAAATCATGAAAATATGCTCGGATACGTTTCTTATTCCAAATATCGAAAGCGCTATCCACAAATTATCGGGCATGGAACTTTTTGCAAAAATTGATTTAAAATCTGCCGATAAGCAAATACAGATAGATGATAAATTAAAAGAAATTGCCACAATAACCTCCTCCCCCATAAGATCATTAAAATGGACGAGAATTCCTTTTGGAGTGAAAACAAGTACCATTTTTCGTAAGTGTTAATTGACAAAATTATTAACATGATTATTTATCAAGATGATATTTGCCTCGGTACCACCACGAAAGACGAACAAAAAAGAATAACAAAAAAACGGAACATGTGTTAAACAAGTTAAAAAAAATACTGTGATGACAATAAACAGAGGCAAATATGAATTTGATTGCGATACAATATTATATTTAAGGGTCCCAAATTTCATAAGATGGTATTGCATCAGTTTTAGAGATATCTGTACCTACTACTACTATTAATAAAAAAGCGTTAGAATACTTTTTTTAGGATTGGTTAATTTTTATAATAGATATCTACCAAAATACAGTGACTTAACAGAACCATTTGCTGAACTGTGGAAAAAGAATAAGAAGACTTGACGTTTGAGTATTTAAAAGAGATACTCGCAGAAAAAAAACCCATTGTAAAAATCTTTGATTCCAAAAAGGAGGTTACGTTAACTATTCAAGTAAGTAGAGATAATATGTCAGTTTCAACTCAATGTAATATTTCTCCAGACAGGATTGTTGATTTTTGATTCTTAATAAATTGTAAACTTGACAGCACATCGATGAAACTGACATATTTTCTCTACAAATATTGGCATCGGAAATGATCCGATATTAAGCAAGATTGTTGAGAGTATAAGAAGAAACAGGTGGAGGAATTGTTCCAAATCTGAAAGACCTTATAAAGAAATAAAGCATAAATTAACGATGGAAAATGGCGTTATATGCAATGAAGATGTAATAGAACAAACCAGAAATAGTAAGAAAAGATATTTTAGAAAGTGTAGATGATGATGATGTGAATTGTGGGATAGTGGCTACACAGAGAATAAAATTGTACTCATGGTGGCTGAGTTATTATCGCCATATAGAAGTATATGTATATAAATGTACAAAATGTGCAGAAATAAAAAAAATCATTTTCGTCGAAGGCGAATACCCTCATGGCTTAAAAAAACGGAACCATGGTCTCATGTTCATATGGACGCATTAATGGAATGGAATTATTTTAAATTATCGTAGACCCCTTTTCTGGATGTCCTGAAGTCGTTAAAGATAGAAAAACGACTACAATAAAGCAAATATTAAGTGTGATATTTTCTAGAAATGGGATCCGTAAAACATTGATATCAGACAACACGCCAGAATTTTATGATTTGATTTATGTAATTGGTTGAGATGGATTAGCTGCTTTCCTTAAAAACAAAACAAAACAAAAAACAAAACAAAAAAACACCACCGTATCAACCACAATCTGCAGAAAGAATTGCGCCAACTGAAAATAGGATTGTAGACATTTTCCCTAAGCAGAAATACTATAGACATTTACTTACCAAGATTACTTCGTAGATATATGACGATTCTACCTGCAGACAGATTACAAAGTCCATCTGCATTAATGGGAAGACAAATAAGATCTTCATTAACAATGTCTTACTCGATAAATGAAAAGATGTGGTATAAAATAGACAAAGTAGCAAGTCCTGAGAGAACGAATTTCATCATGCAAAGCGGTCATAACACAGCAATTATATGAAAGAAAGGAAAAGGCCTAATGCCTCATTCTGACTAATTAAGACCTAGAATGGGAGATCTTGACGAAGAAGAAAGGATGAGTTCTACAGATCAGGATAATATAATAGAAGACGGGCATATGGATGATAGCTGGAGTGACTCAGATACGCAAGAAGACGAAATGAGACCAAGATCTCCATTAAAAAGAACAGGACATAAACCTCAAGAGGGAGAATAGGAAAGAGGTTGTAAAAGAATTTCAAGAACAACGAAAGGTATTAAAACTCTTCGGTTCAGTGAAGTGTAATGTGATTGGCAAAATGATACCCCGACACATAAAATACAACAACGTGGTTTTCACAACATGGTGAAGTAGTTAGCAACATGATGTTTCGACATGGCAAAACATCGACATGGTTTCACAACATGGCGAAGTAGTTAGCAACATGATGTCAGGACATGGCAAAACAACAACATGGGGCACCAACATGGCGAAGTAATTAGCAACATGATGTCTCGACATGGCAAAACAACAACATGGTGCCCCAACATAGCGAAGTAGTTAACATGACGAAATAGCATCCTAATGCCTGAATATGGCAAAATAGCAACATGCAGTTTCAACATGACGGAGTGGTTTGTAAATTTGTCTCGCAGGTCAGGTTCATGCTATATGTATAGAGAGTTCGATTCCAAACTTGGCTCTTCTGTAATGTAGCCTTGTGCCAGATTCGCAAGGAAAAATGACTCAAATTTAACACCTGTCCCTGATAGTTGATGGATTTTGTGATCAGAAATAGAAGCAGAAGATTAAAAGACAGTTTTAAACTTCTAGCGTTAAGTATTGCTGCTAAATTAGATAAGTGTACGAGAAAAGGTCAAAACAAAAGGTCACAGAAAAGATACGGTTGTCGAAAGTAAGCGAAAAAATATAAAAATGATTAAAATACATGTGGGCAAGTATTTGAAGCTCGAAAAATATTCTGTGTGCATGCGTATTATAGAAGAGTGAAACATTAAACAGTGATCCCAAAAATGGAGATTAAAAAACAAGATAAAGAGAAATAAATAAATAAATAGAGAGAGATGAAGTGCGGGAGATAAAGAGGGGCAAAAAGTTGACGAAGAAATCGTAAACAAATAAACTGAACAGAAAATGAGAAAGAAGAAAAGAGAGAAGGCGAGAGGGAGAGGAAATAAGAGAGAAAGTAACATAGAATAAGAGAGAACAAGGTAGAAAGAAAGATAGAAAAAGAGAGAGAGAGAAAGAGAGAGAGAAAGAGAGAGAGAGAAAAAAAAGTGAGTGAAAGAGAAAGAGTGAGAGAAAGAAAGAGAGAGAAAGAAAAAGAAAAATGAAGATAGGAAATATGTATTAGAAATAAACAGAAAATAATCGGAAAAAGTGAAGAACAAAAAAAGATTCGTCTGGATGCGTGGGCGTGTATACGTGCGTTTTTAAGTGTATATACAGGTTTGTCTACATCTATCCGTGTTAGTGTGTACAGATGTATATCTACATGAATATATCAGTACATCTGTGTGCGTGTGTGTCCTTGATCAAGGCTTACATTGGACATTCTTAATTAGTGGTCGAGGTCATCATCAACACGTGTTATCGGATACACGTGATGACCTACCAAACCATGTGGAAAGCAGAAATGTGCTGGCTAAGGTTAGAAATAAGAAAGGAAGGCAAATCCTTCCCCTGATTCCCAAGGTTAACCTCTAAACTCACGCGGAGTAAACAATTTAACGCTTATTTACTGTAGAGTCTTTAAAATTAAAAAAAAAAAAAACAACTTTAGGTTGTTTCCTTGACTTCACGATCTGTTTTTCTTCTTTTTTTTTAACTGATAAACAACCTTCAGTTATAAATACGAAATATTTACCTCCTTATCAGTACATATGAATCATAATTTCCTTTATGTGCTGTGCTCTTTCACAACTTGAGTGATCATGATTCTCTATATTTTTCAATTCGCTCTAAATAACTCTTACCTATTTACCGCCCTTCTCGTTTTTTTTTTTTTTTTTTTTTTTTTTGGCCTTGTTCTGCTATTCATTTACTCTGACTAGTCAGTTAGATTATTAGCTTCCTCTTTCTGTCTCACCGGCCTTCAATATACCCTTTTAGTGCTAAACCTTTCCTCGCTGTGTACTTACACACAAATATACTTAGGAAAGGTATAAATCCATCTCTTCCACCCAGCTATGGGTTAAATAGTAGAGCCTGTATTTGGAAAAATCATTGTTATCCCCCCAAAATTGTTAATGTGATATTCCTTACAATACAAAATACCAAAATACGCTTAGGCTCTAAATAACCCACAAAATGTTGATGAGCCGTAAAAATCTTTATTATGTATTCCAGAAGTTTTTGGTTTTTATTTTTAGCAACAATGGTAAGGAAGAAATTCTATACAGACAGCTTCTTCCGAATTATTACTTTGTGGAACAAACTCCTGTGTGGATGCTTCCCCGATCACTATCTATCCTACATATCTTTACAATATGCGCCTCCATCGTCGTATGCCCTTACAACAACCTCATTTTGTAACCCTCTAACTTGAGTGGCTCCTGGGCTTTGTATAGGATGAAGAATAATATCACATACTCACTTCATGGTATTTTCAATATACTTAAGTAAAACTCTATCGTGGATGCACGGGTTGTGTAATGGATAGACGCTCGGATTGAGAAATCGGAGAGCTGTGTTCGAATTCTAGTTTGTTACATTCAGTTACGTGCTAATACCCTTGAGAAAGGTATCCAGCCACCCTGCCATCTATGTGTAGAATATCAGGATAGACTGGGTCCTATCTCCTTGGGGAAGGGCAATTCTGAATTAAAACCCGAGCCAACCACCTTGTAAGTCCTGTCCTAAAGGCTCGAAGAAGGTAACTTAAAAAAACAAAAAAAAAACAAATCCACCTTGCATGTCGTCTCGAAGAAATGAATTGACCCACCCCCCGCCGTCCCCTAGATGGGGCCACGACAAAAAATAATGAACTCTTCGGGGGTTAGTAGAATTGTTTGAACAAAGACATGACAGGGTATGACGGCGCCGTCGATCGATCTGATTTCGGACCACTCGTCCATGGCACTTTAGACAACGACAAAAAAAAAACAAAAAAACTCTCTCTTTCTCTCTCTCTCTCTCTTTCTCTCTCTCTCTTTCTCTCTCTCTTTCTCTGTTGAGGCAAGTCTCTTCTGTATCTCTGAAAGGAATTTCTGTCGATTCCTGCCGCAGAGAGGATTTAACAGCCACTCTTTTCTTTGTTGCTGTGGACATTTGTCGATTCTTTAGATCATTTGCAACTCTATTTTACAAAATGGCGTTAAAATCAAGAAATACTTTGCCCTTTTCAGTCATGTCTTATTTTTATTCACTTATTTTAACCGAAATAAGAAGCGCAGTTGAAAACGGAGAATTCCAAATAAAAGAACCTGTGAAAATTTCACTGTCTTGCTATTTGAATTTTCTGATAAATCATAATTCTTAAGTTCTTCTTATGAGTTATAAGAAGCTATAAAATAATTGGAATTTCCCCGATTGCATCGTTAAATATTTCAGCTTACCTTTATCAAAGTATTGCAATAAAAAAACATAAATAGGAATAGAAGTCATTATTTAAAGATCAACAACCTTCTTGTTAATTATAGACTCAAAGATTTTGCTGATGACACTAAGGAGATTGATAGGACGATATTATGAAAGGGATGAGCGCTCACCCGCCTTCTTGAAAAAAAGGCATACAACTGACACTTTCAATAGAGTTGGCAAGCATTCCTCCTTCTCTGGGATAAGGTTCTTAAGAACAAACACCGGAATTTTATCCGAACCAGTAGCCTTCGTAGAATCAATGCTTTTGATTAACTGACTTGTTTTTTACGACTTATCAACCCATTGTTGGTTATTTAAAGCCAAAATATATTTTGGGTTGTTAGAATAATTAAGTTACTATTTGTATTAACAATTCTTTTGAGAATAACAATGATTTTTCCAGATACAAGTTCTGCTATTTAACCCATAGGTGAGGGGAGGTGATGGATTCATATTTTCCCAAAGAGTATTTGCGTGCAAGTGAATGTCACGAACCCGACTGGAATTTGAACTCCGATTTCTCAAGTTATTGATAAGTGTGGAAACTTACTGTGCCGTGATAGAGATATTACAAAGTTTGTATTCCGTGAGAAGAGGGGGATCAGATAGAGGACAGACCTTGTCGTGGAAAAGATGTAGACGGAAAAAAAAAACTTTAGTGACAGGCTTATATCAAGAGACAATAAAGGAAAAATTGAGAGATGAATATGAACGGAAAGTCGTAAAAAAATTCGAACCATTAAACAAGATTTACCAAGAGATAGAGTCAAAGAAAGATTAAAGTGTGGATATTTCTCTTTATTTATTTTCCGCATATGAACCTGATCCATATTTGTATAACATTTAGATAAAATATTGGACAGTCAAGATTGGTAACGCTATTGGTGATAAAAGGAAGATACATGCAGAGAAGATGCGACAAGTACCGAGTACATGGGATAATGGATAATATAATCATTCGTAGCTAGAAATCATGGTCAGTCATTTATAAGTTACGTAGGGTCGCAGTTTCCAGTCGTTGTGTTTAGTGTCTGGAGCATAAATAGCGCTGTAACTTCCTGATAGAAGAATAAAAGTAAGGCAATAATGGATAATTGTCAATACTCGTCGACTTTCCACGGGTTTGGCTAGTTGGCTTACAATTGTTTCTGAATTGATTATTTACTTTATTTACATTATTAGGACTATTGTCCTCATCTTTGTCGCCATATTTGTCACAACGTTTCGGCCGTTGTACGCTCCGGCCTTCTTCAGGTGGTTGGAATGTCGAACTGAACCCTTTATTACGCTAGACTGTTCTAGTGCCATGTTTGATGGATGTCAGTTATCAGTTATTTCCTGTTAATTTCCCTCTGAAAGTTCTCCACTGCCTTAACCGGGTATTGAACTCACACTCTTTGGGTCCTGTCACTGGATCTAGCCAACACCTTTATCCATGTGCCATGTGTCATTGATGAATTTCTGGTTATTATAAACCTAATGTCTTCAGCAACCATTTTTTACCAGTGTTCATATTGCAATTTTGATGTTATCATTGCACGTTTTTACCAGAGCTCATATTGCAACTTTGTTATCATTGCTTTTCTCTGGCACTCCTTATTACTGGTTCCTATATTGTATTTAAATTCCAACCACCTGAAGAAGGCCGGAGCGTACAACCACCGAAATGTTGTAATAAATATGGCAACAAAGATGAGGACAATAGTCCTAATAATTTAAATAATGTACATAATACCTCATCTCAGAAATATAGACAGACTCTGATTATTTACTGCTGCTAATTCTTCCCTCTTCGAGTTAAAATGGTCTTAAATGTCTTTAATTCCGATATCCTTGTGATCACGATTTACAAAGAGAAATTTATAAGACTAGTAGTTCATGTCAACATATTTTGATCTTGAATCCTTGTCAGTAAAAAAAAAAAAATGGAGAGGAATAAAAAGTAGTATAGTTTTGAATGAGAGCGGGAAAAACGAAAAACCTGTCGAGGCGGAATGAAAGGTATCAAAGCGAGAAAACAGAATGCACCAGAAAAAAAAAAAGGAGAGAGAATAGAAAAAGGAGACGACAAAAAGAGTTGAGGAATTCTTTATCAGAAGAGGAATTTTGTTTGCTGATAAAAATCCTTTAATTGAAACATGCGGATTGTATTTAAGACATGTGCATTTGAGACATGTGTATCTTACTCACAGAGATATTATAAATAATCTAGCTTCAAAACACTACTTGACATATCTGCTTGAGTAAAAGACTTGTACCCTTTTCGACGACAAATACACGTAGATACTCAACAACGAAAGAACGAATCAACGTTTATACGCTTCGTAAAAAGAAAACATTCAGAAAACTATTTAAACAGAATGAAACGTATTAAATATTTAAAATTGCATCTCACGAGTACGCGGTTTCATAATCAGCGCTAGTGATAGAAGTTCGATCCCGTTAAAAAATATAAGCCAGAATTTCATTTTTTTCTCCAGACAATTGTTTTTTTTTTGTTTTTTTTAACTACAGCTCGAACGTCGGCGACTAGCGCTGGTATGACTATCTCGGTAATGTAGCTAGCTGGAGTTATTTAGGTTTTTGAAACAAGACCACACGTTTCTATCACCTAGTGATGATCGATCACACAACAGTAGTAATGATCTGCCAGACTCGCTTGTTAACCATTGCTCCACGGTCAGGTGCTTATAGTGATATTTATTAAGATTAGCTTAGGACGGTACATAGTTTCATTAGGGGCTCTTATGAATTAATTCACCTCGGTATCAAAAGTCTGCAAGATCTGCTAATGTTTGGAATGATTCTAATAAGTTTTGATGTTTCATCTGTCCGAACATGTCTGTCTGTTAGGGTGCCGAGCTAATCTTTGTTGCAGATACTGTCTCTGGCACATTACTGTATATTCGAGGAGCCAACACGTAGTTTATACATTAACTATGCTGAGAAGAGTTACAGTTTCCGGTGGGATCAACAATTTGAACAAGGTGTGTACACTCAAACTCTCGGTCACAATGACTTGAGACTTCGTGCTATCAAAACCTTAGGCAACTTCTGATTTAACAGATAAGGCTTTGGTCAACCCGTTTGACGGTTTTCAGGTTCTTACCACAAGCAACGTGAGCTACGATCCTCTCTCCAGGGCGATATTATCAAGACATTACCACCCTGACAACTCAACCATGTTAAGGTGGAACCCGTGTTTCATGACCGGATTTCGTGACAAATTTACCCATCTGCCACTGGGTTTGATGCTCTAATGACATTCACCAAACGGAAACCATGAGCTGAATCTAGTCATTAAATACCAAGCTTTGTGTTAACTTTTTATATCCCTTTTTAAGCTCAAAACATAATCTGTTTCTATTTTAAAAAAATAAACGTTTTTAAGTTTTAGCATCAGTTCTTAATTCTATACAGAAGAAATTTAAACATGATTATAATTCTTTAAGTTTTAAAGAAAGAATATTAAGAAAAAAAATCCATCGGAAGAAATTTTATGGACGTTTTTAGCTAAAAAAAAATCGACACGCACAAAAATATAATTTCTTTTCGCATTTATTTATAAAAGAATGTAATTATTGATAAATGAATATTGATAATTCACAGTGTATCTGAGTTTGTTAACCGTTGTAACCATGTGATATAAGGAAAATAATTGCAAGTTTATATTTAGGTGATATTTTGAAATAAATTCCGAACTTCTTATTTAAAACATTCACTTTAATTTTAATTTTCTTCTGCCTGTAATCTTAATTTGAAAGATAGACATTCAGACCTTTTCATTTATGCACTGATATACGTTGATATCGTAACTAGCAAGAGTTGAAGTATTTATTCTGATATTATAAAAAAATTTACAAAAAAAAAAACAAAAAAAAAACATCATATATCTAATATTTAACCCTGTAGTCATATCAAATACTATTTCAAAAATTAGTTTCAAAAGAAAGCAACAACTTTCTTCGACAAATATATCTACGCTTCCTTTCTTTCTTAAAGAAAGAATTGTTTGCGAGATATACTCCAGTGAATAAATCGACCAGATTTGATCAAATAAAAGCGGTTCGAACAAACAGTGATTAGCAAGTAGGTCTTGTAGGCTATAATTACTGTAGTGAGATCGATCCTCACTGGGTGTCGCACTCTTGCAGTCTTGTGACAGACTAAGCTAAGCTTAGTGTAAAAATCATTAATATTTTCCTTGCTATAGAATAATCGTTAGCAAGCTAGACTCAAATACTATTGCAGTGAGGTCGATTCTCATTGGGTGCTTCCCTTTTGCAGCCTTGTGCCAGACAAAGCTTAGTGTAAAAATCATTAATAGCTTCCTCGCTATAGAACAATCGTTACCAAGCTCGGCTGAAATACTGCAACTTTTGCAGTAAGGTCGATCCTCACTGGGTGCCACTCGTAAGAGAATTTCATAAATTATTAAGATTGTATTGTATTTTTTCATATTCCTAATAATTCAGCTGCTGTGTTTATGTGTGTGCATGATTCTCTGTCCGTCTGTGTGCGCATGTCGGAATGCGTACTTGTGAAATGTGTATGCCTGAGTGTGTCTGTGTCATGTTTTTCATTTTTCTATTTTTTTCTTTTTTATTTATGTGTGTGTGTGTTTGTGTTAGTGTTCGTGTGCGTGAGTGTGCGTGTGCGGACAGGAAAGGACGAGTATTAAGGCGTGTGCAATTTGGTCAAGT